GTGGGAAATATTTCGGAAAACATCCCATTGCTCCCAAACACGCGCGGTAATATCCCGGAAATATCCGAAGTATCTTGGATCCGTGGGAAACGAATTGACATGGTAAACTGACGCTTCCCGCACACTAGAACGGTATGTAATTAGGTATTTTACAGACGCGAGTAGAAAAAAGATTGGACATCAATTTCATCCAGACTGCAACGCATGCGCCTAGGATTACTCAATTATGTCAGTGTTACCTACAAACCAGGAAAATACCTTTATATCTCGGACACTCTGTCTAGAGCATGCATAGACGAATCAGAATCAAAAACAGATAATGAATTTGAATATGTTGCGGAAAAGAATGGTCGGATGTCCGAAAATCATAATTTAAAGAACAAACCAGGAATGATCTGGCTCGCCAGACAATAAAAATTTAGTTTATGAAAGTATTAAACACTATTTTCAAATAAAAGATTCATTTTTACACGAAGGTTACAATGGAATAAAAAATCCAAAAATAGGGCTCGTCAATTTTTTTATCAACTAAGAATGAGCTCTGACATGGAAAGGTAAATTCAAAAATGTAAAATTTGTGAAAAAACTGGTAGACGTCAGCTACTACCATTTGCATTGCCAGAGAGACCACGGGAAAGTTCAGGAATTGATATTTTTACTTTTGCTGATATTAGTTATTTGATTATTTACGACTCATATTCTAATTGGTTAGAAATGATCAAAATGAATGATAAAAGTAGTATTTCAGTTATACCGTGTGATAATATTCCCTTCAATAGCTTTGCATTCAAACAGTTTGCCAAAGTGTAGAATATTAATTTTAATTTTACAAGTCCAAATTAACTACAGTCTAATGGTCTTGCAGAAAAGGGGGTATGTATTGGAAAAAATATCCTAAAAAAGTCTATGCAAAAATAGGTGAAGATGTGGATCTATATTTAATTCAGTATCGGGAATCCCCCTTAAAACATTTGGGATTATATTCCTTCTCAGTTGTTAATGAGTAGAATTTAGAAGTAGAGCAGAAAACCTAAGTTATGTAAGGACGTTATAATTTAAACATAATTTGTATAAAACTAATTATCACAAATATTCAAAACAACTTGAATCTTTGAAGAATGATTCTGGTGTACAAAATAGACTTCCTCGCATATTAATCCTAGATTATATATTGTAAAAGATGCAAGTGAATATAATTTAAAGCCTTGTTTCAATCTGTACAGTCCCACCTCTTTTGAAATTGAAAAATTGCGCTGAAAACAAGGAAAATCTAAACCAAAGTTCATGTAGTAACTCGAATGATATGTCCAAACAGATTAAACTTGTAACGCAGAGATATATAATTTAGTATGAAGTTGTCAATGTTATTTATACTATGAGTGTCGTGTCCAAGTCGTATTCTGTGGTGAATCGTTACCATCGCTGGGTACGGCCAAGAAGCCAGGAGTGTTATTAATTTATAATCGGTTAATAGAATTTGTGAACTAAGTTGTTGACTTTTATTTAGAACCAGAAAAGTCCCGAATATTGCAGTAATTACAAATAATTCCTACAATGCAGTTTTCGGATAGTAGCGGTAATAGATATAACGTCTTCAACAATCAACAAACCACAAACTGGTCAAAATTGTATAAGGCGGTAAATGTGTGACACCGTCCGTTGTTGTCCTTCTAACCGGCTAAGCAAATTTTTGGTTGATTTCTGTTAATCTGTGAATATGTACAATTTGGCAACAATGGATTCGGGTCAAACATTTACCGCCATCTAAAATGCTTGACCGCTGTCAAAGGTACCGTGGCTTAGTATAGCCGAACAATACAATAACGTCAATCGTCCCGGGACGGAACCATCGCCAATCGGAATTAAAAGTCGGAGACCGAAACAAGTGGGGGCAATTGCAGCGCCGGCGACATAAACGAAAATATAACCTACAAATCAATAATTACTGTTTAAACGTACCTCGTATATAGTAGGAACTCGAATAGTGAACCCGGTTTAGAAAGGAACGTCTACTAAAACGACGTGAAAACCAAAACGTTAGTTTACGTAAGCACCAAAGCGCGACGTTCTCGTTCTCTCTGCGGCATCAGAATCAAGTTGGCGTTGACCGCGTTACAAAGCGACAGAGGGGCGCGTGCGCGTTGTCTCTCCCTTGCCCACGCTTCCGAGTACAGAACGCTGTTCAACTCTCTCTATTGCCTGGCTGTAGCTCCAAGTGAAAATCGGACTAGGTGAGTTTACTTTACCAGATCACCATGGAGCTTTTGACTCGGTCAATATTGTGGTGATCTAACGAGACGTGCTTTTTTTTAAAAATCGCAATTGTTTTTATACAACGGGAAGTATATGGGCTGTTTAAATTTAAATCGTCGAAAATTGAATTACTATTTTTTATTTGCAAAGCAACGTTAATCAATACCTGAATAATTGTCACCAGAACAGTCACCGTTGAAGCGATTCCAGTTTCTTGGAAATTAAATAAGTAAATATACAAAATTATATTTCAAAAAAGGTCGCACGTAAATGATTTACGCGGCATTCCTAAACACTAGTGTGCCACGGAACCGGGTCTTTTATTTCGCCCTTGGCGCTATCGATCCAGGCGCCATGTTTAATTACTGTTCGTCTACAATCAGCAAACCTGATGTCCGTATTCGTGGGAGCCTGTAATTTTCCCACCTACCGATTCCAGGCAATAGCGTGGTCGCAATTATTTTGCAAAAGTTAGATAATATGACACGAAAAATTTGTCAAGCGCGTAACATCGCTAAGTCTACTAGCATTCCAGACACCTAATCGTTCCGACATGGAACCAAGAGCTCCAAGAGGCGGTCCGGATGCACCCCAGAAACTTTTGGTACATTCGAGACTAATTTTCGTCCTCGTAACGCCAGCCAAACGCAGTTTTCGACATTTTGGACAACGAAATATCATTCCGAACGAACACGTTGTCACGCCAGACCAAACGAGCTGCAATCAAGCTGACGCTACTCAACGCGGGCGGTGGGGGGATCGGGGAGCGGGCCGCGGCCTCCGCCGGAACCGCTCGGCGTTGTTGCCAGCTCTGCGGGCAGGAAAGAGGTCAGCCAACCCGAGACAACGCGCAAACTCGTCCAACCTCCCTTCGACCTTCGTTCCGACGTTCCCGTTATAGATTTTCTCCGCGTGCACTTTTACCTCAGCACTCACCATCGTTTTGTTGCGCTTGATTCTTCTTCTAATTTTCCTCAACCCGCGAAGCCTCATCCTTGAAGGCGAGCTGGGAGGGGCGTGGCGCGAGCAATACCAAATACCAACTTTAAAAAGCGTCTAGCTTTAGGTGCATGTTGGTGCTCTTCGTTTTTAAGGTTTCCGATTATGAATATTACGAGGTGGAGTCGACAAGTACCAAACCCGAATTTCGTAATTTCAATGTGTACGATTAAAATGCAATCAGTAAACTCTGACTCTAATAACCAGGTCAGTTAATTCGTTTCCAAAAAAAAACGCCGTTTACGCTGCAACCGAAAAAAATCCAGAGAGTCGTGACGAAAATTACCAGATTTGGCACCGAACGGGGATCTATAAATCTCAGTGACGTGCAAAATCTACGCCCGACATCGAACTACGCAGGCTGAAGCCGGCAAAGGAGATGTATCGACGTCTCTTTCGTCTCGAGGTATCTTCTTCTTACGTCGCTTTTAAGGTTTGTCCATCAAAGACAACTTTGACACTTGAAAACCGATACGACTGTGAACCCAGCATACCAGAAAAATAATTATACCTCCACCAATTATATATTACTTTCCATTTAATCGTTTCTTTTTATTTTCTATTTTTTATTTTCTTTTTCTCAAAACTATTAACAATGTGCAAAACCTCATTCGGTAAATCTATAAAAAGTACTTAATTAATTAATTATCTTTTATGTTATATATTCATTTTGACCAACAACTTCTTCCAAATTCTACTTGGATAATAAAACTAAAAATGCTCTCGTCCGTTGGACTTTAAAAAATACGTACTTTACGTAAACAAAAATTTTCAGGTTAAGTTGCATGCATATTTCAATCTAGTGTTGACAAATTCTAAGTCTAAAACTTTTTAAAAGTTATATAATATATTTTATATTATACTTATTTTGACCAACAAGTATTTCCAAATTCTAATTGGATAAAAAAAAATAGAGAAAAAAATGCTCTCGTCCGTTGGACTTTAAAAAATACGAACTTTAGCTAAACAAAAACTTTCAGGTTAAGTTGTTTCCTCGTGCATAGTTTCGTCAAATTTTAAGTCTAAAACTTGTTTTTTTAATTTAAATTCTCTTTTGTATTTATACGGTTTTCCTTTAATTCATTGGAATAAGCACTTACACACAGATACTAGCAATAAACAACATTAAATAACTTTTTGTACATTTTTTACACCACAATTCAGATTTCAGTCACGAATTTTATCAATTAGATCAGTCTCATTTTCCACTGAGGTTTCTCCTTCAGGTAACATGCAGAACTTAAGTGGGTTTATTGTGCTACAAAATCAAAAAATTGTACACGAAGACCTGCACGTTTAACTCGAAATTTTGCGCAAATTTGCAAAGTGTGACAGATTTAAAACAGGGAAAAATGCGCCTGGACGGCTAGGTGAATTGATGCCAAATCTCGCCGTGTGTTTTTAAAACGACCCAAATGGCTTTACCTCGGTAATAAAAATTAATACCCTCGACGTTAACTTAAACTTACCGTAAAAACACCGCAAACATTTTAAAGCAAAAGGTACGAGTCGCCTATGTTATTAAGTCAAGTGAAAAAGATCTCCACAACAATATTTATCTACCGGCGTTTGGGAGTCTCGTCAATTTCCGGCATTGTGACAGATGTCGCAACTTACTCGATCCGCCATTTTGAATATTCAAATAATGACGTATAACGGTAAACGTCAAAATCGAAAACAAAATGGCGACTTTGAGGAGGCCACAGTTTCGCTCGCGTCAGAACAAGTCATTACACAGAAAAACTTACCTTCCTCAGAACGCCGGATCAGTCATTAATTTCATGAAGTACAGGCGCAATGATCGAATCGTTAAGCTATGCTGAAAAACTATACCAACTCACTGCCAGCCACACGACACTGACGCGGAGAGAGCGGGCTTTCAACCGCACGCCAGGTTGCCAAGCGTGGTCTGACGCTTACGCGCATGTCGATCCGCCATCCCTGTTTCTCCGTGAGGTTGGTGTGAGTACTGTTTAACGTTTGTTATGTTTATATCTTCACGACGTGATTTTTCCTAATTTACTGGATAGCGCTAACACCAAGGGAAATTTGAGGTTAGGCTAATCCGTCCATTTCAAAGCCAATTACCATTCGTTATCATTTCAATATAAAGCTAGTAGAAACATAATTATATACACTTATTCCAAATTAATCATTTTTTAATTAACCAGATCATTTTAATTTCCTTCTATATTTTTCCAACAATCTTGGATCAAACAATTACGTTGTTAGTAATAACATACAGGGATATTCCAATAATCCCTATACCATTAGCGTAACAATTCTCGTACTTTATTGACGCAGTTACCATTTTAGTCATTCTACCAATGCAATATCTATTGTAAATAAATGTCTGTACAATAAATTCCAAACGGCTATGATTTTAACAAGACGTTTATTATTAAATTCTGGAATCGCTTTGTCAAAGCACTCCTTGATTTAGTTATTTTTTTCTGAGGAGTCGTTATATTTGTACTTTGGTTGTCGATATCGACACCTGCAAACCTTCAACCTCAAAAATTAAGTGCCTCTACAAAAGACGCGGAGAGTAAACGTTTAAATGAACGCTACCCAAGTGGGCCCCAATCGAGCGCTGCTGCGAGAAGCGCATAATAATAAAACCCGACGAAATGATTTCCTAAAGCGAGAGCGAGAACGGTGCGTAGCTGCGCGCAGTGTGGCAACGGTGCACTACGTCAGCACATGTCGAGATATGAATGACCTTTGAGTCACCTTCGGGAACGGGTTCGAAGCAATGTTTTTGTCGCCATTTCGGGCCTACGTTTCGACGTTATTTTCGCGGTTCACCATCTGGAAACTGTCGTACGAGGTCTGCTCGACTGAAACTGCGACCTGTTCCGAAATGACCCCGACATTGGGTTATTTAAGGGGGTGAACGAGAATTATTTAATATCAACATAATTACCAGATTATTAGATACTATAGTAACCATCTAAAACATTAGACATCCAAAGGAATATTATAATTTCTTTATCAAAACCCAAGTCCAAAATTTAGGAATTTAAATTTTTCATATAATCGAAAATCCAGATTTTAGGTTATGTTTTTGGTAGTTCTTATTAATTGCAGGCAAAAATTACATGGGACATTGCATTTTGTTTATTTGAGCCAATGATTCCGCGCACTCACCGTGAGCATTGTTTGGAAAGATATATTTAGAAACATATTCATTATTTACGGAATAAATTATATTAATGGCAATCCAAATAGGTACTGTATCCCTAAACGAAAAGTGCTTTCTGCGAAATATGTTTTCATTACTAAGGCACCTATATCTGGTTACTAATGCAAGTTGATTTGATTGGTGCTAGTAACTGAAGCTGACAAAACTTCGACTGACGAATTTCTGTTATAGCTAAGTATGTCGTATTCATATGGTTTCCTATACACAAAGGAACTAGGTAAGTTTGCTAAGTTTGTACTGACCCCTGGTAAGTATAATCAGTACCAAATCCATCAAATAAAAAAAAACATATTTTTAAAACACCGTGTATAAATTCTCCCATTTCATTAAATGATATACGAACTACATATTCGCTTTACTTTGTTACCCAAGCTCATAAATTAATATACATTAATCACCCAATTTTCAACGAAAACTTTTAAATCGAAATATTTTCAAATTAAAGTTCCAGTGAAAATAAAACACGTTGTATGTAGAGATGTATCTATTAATCGCAAATATATAATCCAATCGTCTAGCTTGTGCTGCTATCTGCCGAACAGGCGAAAACCAAATAAATAAGTTGGCTCCACACCGCTTGGAATATAATAGATCTCACCCCAATACAATTAAATCTTACAGTTCGAGTTCCTCCACTGGTTTATAGATGGCGCGTATTGGTTGACTTTTAATTCATTCCGTTCAATTGTCAATATTATTTGTAAGTACATTTTTATTTTATAGATTAGAATTCATTAAATAGTTATTTGCTTCAAAGTGGTGGATCCTTGGTACCATTTTTAATTTATCGGTTAGGTTTAAAATGGTATTTTTTACGGATATATATTGCTTTTTTATAAAAAAAAAGTAAAGTCAAAGTTACCATGACTAATTATTATTCCAGTTGGTCGATTACAATAATAATAAAGTATTTATCGATTTATCAGATAACTTAAAACCATTTAACAGCTTCCTAAGATGCGTGAAAAGAATTTTTTTTTTACTTTTAATAGACGCTTCCTGGTAATCTAACGCCAGAACTTTTTTTGGCTATAGTCGTTCTTTCCCGTTTTATGATTGGAGCCAAAATCCGTGTAAGCAATTTATCACTATTCCAGTGAAAACTGTTTTACCCACCTCTTCACCAACAGGTTGGCCAGGGCAAAATCATAACGCATTTCCGCAATCTTTAACACTTTTCCAGTGTTAAACCACAGAATTATAGTTAGGTCACCCTCCTCCGCTTGTAACGCAAGGCATAATTCAATTATTTCAAAATTTGTTAACGGTTTTCGATCACGTTTTCGGTTTAAATTTTTTTATATTTGAATACTGTATCCCTACTATTTTGAAATTGTATGTGTTATAAAGTAATGGATATTATTATGTCCCTTGAATATCCCACACTAGGCAAAAAATGACAGATCAAACACATAAATCTGTTTTACCAACTGACATTTATCAATTGAATCTAACTCGGCTGGAATCACAGAATACTAAGCTGAAATGTAGGAGTAGGCAAATAAAACGGCAACTCTAAAAAGAACTTGGCAATGTACATGTGTGCAACGCGTCTGGCGGAAAGTACAACAATTAAAGAACCACCTACTAGATGGCATCTTACATGTCACGCAAATTTTAAGATTTATAAGGAAAACTTTGATAAGTGGGAAAAGCAAATTAAGTACACAAATTGTAATTAGGCTGACTTTCTCGCCACAGTTCTAGGAACAAAATTTTTGTATCAGAGTAAATAAACTTCCACAAAAATATAAAATAACAGTACGTCGTTTATCTCACCCTTAACTAATGGTAAAACATAACATAGAAAGTGTTTTCGTATTTAAGAGGTATTATTCACATAATCTGAATACACTTCTTTTCGGATGGATGCTCTCAGATGGCGGTGTTTCGTCGCTCATCTATGTTTCCACCTCACTCGACGATTCGTCTTCTGCAACATAGATGGTGCGGTAAGTATCGTTCTAAGTTATTAATTATATTATTATTTTTAAATATGTAATCAAAGATCGTTTAATTTTATTTGTTTTTGTTAGACAGATTTAAACTTACCACAAGTAATGACTGTTCCAAGAGCTATGTAATTGGGTCAATGTATTAGTTATTATATTATTGAATAACCCACCACTATTAGATTCTATATGGTGTAAGTCAAAGAGTATAAGATAGATGGGAAGGCTACCATTAGTGGCAATGTTAAAAAGCGTATATGAGTTTCAAAGCCTCTAGTGATTGTGTCCAGTCACGGAAACGGAAAACGCAGGGGTCTATTCAATTTACAGTTAAAACGTGAAAAAAAAAATGTCGAGATGGTTAAAAATTTTTTTTTATTAAAATATAAATAAGTGCTGTTATGAGTTACAAGCTACTGTAGATTTTCAGTGTGACACATTACTTTAAATCGCCGTCACAGTACTTGAGTACTTGGATACAAATATTAGATGGCATTCGTAACAGTATACGTGACCTTCCCCTCTATCTTATACTCTTTGGTGTAAGTCAAAGAGTGAGAAACGAACGGCGTATTTAGGCGATGTTTGGGATCGATTTGTTAGGGCTAATTTGGTTACTCCGCAATATTTCAAACCAACTAGCCAATTCTTATACCAACTAAATAACCTGTTATTTTGATTATTTGCATTGGTTAATGTGCAGATTTTTCATTATTGCTTTTATATTGACTATATATTTGAAATAGTTTGTATACTATCAAATTGTTAATATGATTGCTGTAACCGTATCGGACCATCCATAGTCGTGACGCGGACCTTTTTTGGACAACTGTCAGTTGTCAGGTATGTGATCCTCTGTGCTGCGTACATCATGGAAGTTTAATAGACATCCTAACGCTTGACGTCACAGATATGGGCGGAACTTATATCGGCTCCAAACAAACGACAAAATAGCTGTAAGAAATTTTTCATTTAATGTTTTCCTGTTTTTGTATTGCTGAAGGAACATGCTATTTAATAGCTTCTCATACGTTTTTGTCCAGGTGAGTTATTTTAATGTAATAATTCTGCTTGAAAAGTTTTTGAGGTTAAGTTTTTAATTGTTTTCTGTTTATTTTTGAATTTACTAAAGTTATAAGATTTCGAATTTAGCCGAATTAATTTCAGGCTTATATCCAGACTGTAGACATTATAGTTCAAAGTATACATGAAGTTTTTTCGTTTCCCAAAAACAAAACCAAGAAGAATTTCTCTCATAAGGTAAGTAAATAATGATATTCAGTTTTCAAAGATTAATGTTTAAATGTATTTATGTACAGGAGAAAAGATAAAGGTCCAAGTCATTTTGCAAAAGTGTGAGATTGCTATTTTGTAAATAAAGAAAAGAAGAATGGAGCAACCTTATTTAATTTTAGTATTCAGAAGAAGTTTAATTTGAAATCTCCAGAAAAAGGGTATGAATATACTATTGCAGAAACTCTATTAGTCAACATGTTTTTTTTAGGAATTGAACCATAGAAAAGAGCGAAATTTTTTTGGATAATCTTTTAACCAAGTCCCTACTAGGACCTTTAGTTGAACAACTACCAGGACCTTCAACTGAGCCAGTGCCGACTTGATGTTTCGCTCTTAAGTCCCATCATCGGCTTCTCTAAAGGCTGAAAATTATTTTTTAAGCCAACAGGTGGCTGAATTAACCAAAAAGTTAGCTTAGTTATGAAGTTGTAAAGAAAAATGATGCTCATTTATTAATGCATACTGGCATTCCAACCAATGAGTTTTTCATGGTCCTATTTGACCTAATGGATAGCTTTACATTAAAGTATTATGCTTGATGGAATTTTCAGTTCATTTCTAAAATCAATCAGCTAATTAAGACCTTAACGAAATTAAGACTTAATCTTCCACAAGAAGTTCTTTTTAAGAATTTGATAAAAACCATACCATCTAGACAACAAAATCAGGCGTGCCTCCCTACTGCTTTCATCAATTTTAAAAATTGTAGAATAATTATAATATATTATTATATATATAATTATTTTCCTTTAACGAATTTTGAATTTAGAACTTGTGACAAATTAAAAGAGTGCACATAAGTGCTTAAAGCAAATGAATAATCCAATCACTTAATTGATTATTAAAAGGAATCCAACGATCCGCTACCCGCTAAATCAACTACAAAATAGCCTATCAAAAATAAACTATCGGAGCGATTTAAAATCTCTATAAAAGCACTGGTTGCTTTTATCTTAGCCGGTTCGCGTTTCGTTGTCTTCCGCAAAATACCAAAAGGAACCCATTTGGGTCCACAACAATATGAATGACAGAATCACAACTGTTTAGGTTAGACCGATAAATAATGCAAGTTAAAAATAAACATTCCAAACACCCAAAAGGAAATATGGGAAAAAATCCACCCACCCCTTCAAGCTAAGGGCGCCGACATATATATTTTTGTAATTGTATATTGTTACTCTTGTAGGTTGTATGAAATGAAAATTAAATTTGAAATAAATTGACAATAAACAGCCCTGAATAAAATAACCACAAATAAACATCGGAATTTTTAGTTAGTTAAAAAATAAAAGGAAAAATGGCCAATTTGAACCGGCGCAAAAAAAACGCCTTTCAGGAACCGACAGCCTACGATGTATTCGAGTGGCCGTATTATGCGCTTACTATTTTCGTGGTTGACCGGAAACGTCTTTATATGCGATAATATATTTATTTCCATCGGTTTCGGCGTATTAGAATAAATCAAAATATTGTAATTAAAGCAAACATACAAATTGCAGAGCGTTATATCTGAGTCTCTATGATTCAGTTAATCAATTAGAAAGCCAAATTATATAATTTATAATTTCTGGAGTCTCGGACTAAAAACATGTAAAGAAAGGGGCCTTTATGGGAGGCCTATAGCTTTAAGGTTAATGTTTTATACACAGAAATTCCCAAACTACTTGGTGCATGAATAAAAACACTAAGGTTTGGGTTCACTCTTTATTTCTTTTGTATTCTAGGAGGAAAAAGGACAACACCTTTTATTAGTAGGACGGAACTCGCTGTATCCAGAAAGATTGGTGCATTTGAACTACTCCAGGCACCAACTTCAGGTCGGTCGATACGTATTTATTCTTTTTTATTTCAAAGAAACTTCCACAGCCTTCTGTAATACTTTTTATAAAACTTCTGGAATTCTCCTACGTCGGTTTTTACTGAGTCGAACTTGCTGACGTTTCGCCAATCATCCTGTTGGCTGCTTCAGAGCTTGACTGAAACTGGCTCGCATTTCACTCGGTACCTGTTTATATATTGTTTGAGGATGATATGTCGTGTTTCCGTAATATTCGGCCGATTTTGTCAGTAACCCCTTATATATATATATATATATATATATATATATATATATATATATATATATATATATATATATATATATATATATATATATATATATATATATATATATATATATATATATACTATACAATACTATATATATTCATATATATAATTATTTTGCTTTAACGAATTTTGAATTTAGAACTTGTGACATATAAAAAAAAATATTTGTGTATCCGTAAAAATTTAAAATTTAAATGAATTTTATTTGATTCTGATTTTGAAAATGTATACATGCTTCCGATATCTTAGAAAATTGGATAACTAGAAAAAAAATCAAAGAAAGATGAGTATTGTAATTCACATATCATGATATAGAATTAGCGGAATGCCGTTCTGTGTGTCGAACCAAAAGTCTTTTCTGAACCCCGGGTTACAAAATTTAGGGTAAAATGATTACAATAAAAAAGGTTCATCAAAATTTATTTACTGCCAAAAAAAAAGGAAAAGCAATGAAAAAAAAATGCAGAAAATATGTTTGCATTATTCCTGTACGGTTAGAAGGGGTGCGCAATTTGTCTTTTAAAATTTGTATGTGTAGTCAATTAGAGATTGAAGTTATGTGATGTAGGACGGGATTATGGTGGGCGCTACTTATGATCCAGAGCCTGCTAGATTGAGGTTATGTGAAATACAACTCCTAAGACTGTCACTTAGGAATGCGAATGTAAAAAAGGTTATTTATTAGGTGATATCCAATAATTCTTAACCAACGTCTCGGAAGGACATCAAGCGCAAAAGCAGAAAGTTAGAAAATCACCGACTGAAACCGGGAAGATTACTCTGTACACTGATCTTTTTGTTACGTTGTGGAGCCCATAATGTTATCCCCAATTTTCTTAAAATATCCCATCAAGCCAAAACCTGCTTATAAAATTCTTCGAAAATCTAGTTTCCCTTTACTTCGAAAAAAATTCATCATACTCGTAAGGAAATAGAGCAAATTAGTCATCTGAGACGGTGTTTATGCCCCTCATTTATCTGCGCCATCCTCAAACAATATATAAACAGGTACCGAGTGAAATGCGAGCCAGTTTCAGTCAAGCTCTGAAGCAGCCAACAGGATGATTGGCGAAACGTCAGCAAGTTCGACTCAGTAAAAACCGACGTAGGAGAATTCCAGAAGTTTTATAAAAAGTATTACAGAAGGCTGTGGAAGTTTCTTTGAAATAAAAAAGAATAAATACGTATCAACCGACCTGAAGTTGGTGCCTGGAGTAGTTCAAATGCACCAATCTCTCTGGATACAGCGAGTTCCGTCCTACTAATAAAAGATGTTGTCCTTTTTCCTCCTAGAATACAAAAGAAATAAAGAGTGAACCCAAACCTTAGTGTTTTTATTCATGCACCAAGTAGTTTGGGAATTTCTGTGTATAAAACATTAACCTTAAAGCTATAGGCCTCCCATAAAGGCCCCTTTCTTTACATGTTTTTAGTCCGAGACTCCAGAAATTATAAATTATATAATTTGGCTTTCTAATTGATTAACTGAATCATAGAGACTAAGATATAACGCTCTGCAATTTGTATGTTTGCTTTAATTACAATATTTTGATTTATGCTAATACGCCGAAACCGATGAAAATAAATATATTATTGCATATAAAGACGTTCCCGGTCAACCACGAAAATAGTAAGCCGATAATACGGCCACTCGAATACATCGTAATCTGTCGGTTCCTGAAAGGCGTTTTTTTTTTTGCGCCGGTTCAAATTGGATATTTTTCCTTTTATTTTTTAACTAACTAAAAATTCCGATTTTTATCTGTGGTTATTTTATTCAGGGCTGTTTATTGTCAATTTGTTTCTAACTTAATTTTCATTTCATACAACCTACAAGTGTAACAATATACAATTACAAAAATATATATGTCGGCACCCTTAGCTTGAAGGGGTGGGTGGATTTTTTCCCATATTTCCTTTTGGGTGTTTGGAATGTTTATTTTTGACTTGCATTATTTATCGGTCTAACCTAAACAGTTGTGATTCTGTCATTCATATTGTTGTGGACCCAAATGGGTTCCTTTTGGTATTTTGCGGAAGACAACGAAACGCGAACCGGCTAAGATAAAAGCAACCAGTGCTTTTATAGAGATTTTAAATCGCTCCGATAGTTTATTTTTGATAGGCTATTTTGTAGTTGATTTAGCGGGTCGCGGATCGTTGGATTCCTTTTAATAATCAATCAAGTGATTGGATTATTCATTTGCTTTAAGCACTTATGTGCACTCTTTTAATATGTCCGAGAAGTCGCCTCGCTCGCCATCAGAACCCAAGTTTCTATTTCTATTTTATCATTTTTATGTTATTATTTCGATTATTTCTTACGATCTTCGACATCATAAGTAGGATCAGGACTTTTCGGTAACAATCGGACAGTGAGAAGTGACCGCAATTAGTGCAGTGCTAAATAAATGCGCTACTGTTCGATGGATGAACTGCAATTGTGGTTTTTAGAAAGAAGAAGAGAAAAAATTTGGAATGCAGTTCTTAGCAGTCTCTGCAAATCCAGTAGATTTATTGCAGTCATGAGGAATATTTTGTCACTTAAAACTTGCTATTTTGTTGCTATGCTATATTGTAAGGATGAGTAGGCAAACGATTGGCTCTATTTCTCTGCGGTCGTGATACTGGATCGAAGCGAAGTTTTGTCCTTGCCGTATAGTACTGAAATTTTCTATAAACGGCCTTCGAAATTTTAAGCACCCATAAGTGGCTGGCATAAGGCAGTTTGATATTAAGAAGTTTAAAATGTGACAAGTTTCGTTCCATCTTCGGGCGAATAACTAAGAACGGAGTCTCCCTGGTTCTTTGAAGCTTCAATTTTGTGAGATCTTTCCTTTTTACTTAGCACGGATTCAGATTGTTTTCTGTTGAAAGAAACTATTGCATGCAAATAAGATGGCAAATGTCTGAGCACTTTGCCCACTTTGAGGGACAGCAGTAGCTCTTGAAGAAGCAATAAGCAAATGATGCGAATTGAGGGAATTCAACAAATTGAGTATCGCTATTCGTTTTTGGTTTAAATGATCAATGCTTTAATTGGGAATTAAATGAATTATTTTGAAAAAAAAAAGTTAATTTTTGTAACATGGATAAACAATTTTCGTATTAATATTTCTAAGTATTATAGTAAACTCGGGTAGCTTATAATAAAATAAAATATAATTGGAACTTGTTGTTTATCTTTTTTTCATGCCAACGATCCTCTTAAAGCAAAATTATGGCACCACAAAATTCTAAACCACTTAATGACTTAATGACTCCAACTTGTTCCCAATGAAAGAATATGATTCCAAACAATATTTTATTCAATAAACTGGAAAGGAATATTTATTTTATTTTTATTTTATCTCATTAATGACATTTGGTGCTGGGAGAAAACTGTATAGAAAATTTATAAACGTTATTAGTTATGTATAGTGCAATTGAAAAAATGTTTTGTTAATTGTTTATTTTGGACAACAAAAGTATCTCACCTCAGGAATACAATTTGCATTCGCATTTCCAATAAATTAACTGCCAAAAGTGATACCAAAGAATACGTCTCTGTAATCATCGATGTA